GGGGGGGGGCTGTTGACAGGATGATGAGGTAACAAACACATGGGGAATTTTGGAAATGTTCAGATGGGGACTGAGTTGGTGTATTGATCAGTGGTGATTAATATGGAGTTGACTTTTGATTCGAGGTTTGTTAATTAGGGGATTATCGCGAGAACGAGGGGCTCTGGGGGAGAATGTCGTGGAACCCTTTTTGCGGAGGATTTTGGGAGCTACAAAAAATGCTCTTTGACGGGTATTCTTGGAATCAGTCGTTTTTTTTTTTTTTTTAATGTAATTACAGAGTTAGGAAATGTCATATAGATGTATAACCACCCCAAATGTACCATTACTCTATATGTATAACTCTTTTCATATTTTCATTCATTTATTTTCTATTTTTGTGTATGTATGTGGACGTCCGCATGAAAAGGGACCACTTTGGCACTATTGGAGTTATATATATGCCCATAATCTTGATCTGATTCTGCAAATTTAAAGCCAAAAATGAACTTAATAGCGTAAAGAGTGCCGACGCTATAGACGATCGAAAAAATAATTTAACATGGGTTTAAATGGGAGTTGGCAAGAGAAAAACGTGAATATCTCGGAAAATAGAATCGACAAAGTGGTCCCTTTTCATGCGGACGTCCACATATAGCTATGTAACCGTTAGGTTTGTGCTTAAATAAAAAATAAAAAAAGAATTAGGAAATCTCTCCTTGACAACTGCATACAGAAAAGTAGAGACAAAGGCAAATTCTACTTCGAACATTTTTATGCCGAAAAACGTCTGGCCTGGTTTCGCAATAGAAAGCTCCCAAGAACATCAATTTTTTGGGTCAGTAGAGCCCGCGCAAATCATTACCGGCTCGCCGCTTCCCTCAAAAGGAAAAACTTCATTGAGTCCGCCCAATGCAGATGCGGTCACTTCAGGGAAGATTTAGATCAGGTTCTATGGGACTGTCCGCGATACCTCGACCAAAGACAAATTGTGGTCAACTCTCTTCAGACCAATAAATTTTTTCCCCTGTACTCTAGTGAAGCTATTCTTCAGACGGAGAGACATGTTGAAAATTTAAGTGACGAATTCGTCATTTTTCACAGGAGATTCAGATAAAAATTCCGTGACAGTTCCGTAAAATTTCCTACAACCACATTTCGCTCCGGAATAACAGAAGATACGTAATTTTTATTGAATACAGTAGACGCTTCGTATAAGATACCTCGCGCTCCGAGCGCTCGAGGCGTACCTCACTCTCGGCACTTTTATTGTCTCCCGAGTGTTTATGTTCCGTGGGCTTCTTATAAGATACCTATGGCCCCGGTCATTTTTCAACGAGAAGAGAGTAGTTATAAGGATCAAACGGTGTTAAGGGTCAAACGGGAGGGACGAACGAAGTGATCATGAGGGTCTGATGACCTTAAGGGGGGTCACACCACTTTTTTCAAGTAATGGAAATATACATCGATTTTTTTTTCACTTTTCCCATCGATAAATCGTCATTTTTCGTCTGTGATTATTCTCGAGTCCACCAACAATCCCCCAACATCAGCTGCCATTCTAGCACGTGGGGTTATGTTTAGAGAGAAAAGGGAACGCGGGCGATACAAATTCAAAACATTAAACACATATAAATTGATTAGTTATCGATATTCATTCAGTAAAAATGAAAATTTCATTGAATTCGGGCGCAACGAGCGAGGTATCTTATTTGAAACCCGCTGATCCCTATTTGTCTCCTCTCTGTGGGAGCGCGTAGTGGGGGCATAGGGGTTCCCGGAATTCCACTCTCCTACTGTCCCTAAAGTATCTTATACGAAGTCTCTGCTGTATTTCTCTCCGCGCAAGAACTGGATTTGAAATGTATCGAGATCATCACCAAATTTCTTAAAAATTGTAAAATCGATGTTTAAAATGTGAAGCCAAAATATTGTATATGGTTACTATTATTATTGTATATATGTATATATTTTCTCTCAGCTGTATAAACCAACAGGTTTTGTACTTACTAAAAAAAAAAGAATTAGGAAAGATGTTTTGTTCAAATTCTATTTCAACCACTTGTTTCAATTCGGGAATTACCTCGAGAATGAGTTGTTTTAGGACAAAATGTCATTTTTGCGGGATATTTTCCTGGCTACCAAAAAGGTTCATAGGTATTTCCCCCCCAAACCACTCGTTACTGAGATAATGGCAGATTAATCAAAGATGATTCACTGGGATTTTGCCTCAAATAATTTTCTCTTGACTCTAAAAAAATTTTAAAGCAAACGCAGTGAATAATCCTCCGAGGTAAACCCACCATTTACCATTCGAAAACTTGGGTACGTACAGGAGGACCTCGGGTCAAAGGATAACGTGGGTCGCCCGACCCTCCTCCGTCTCCACTTGCCTTTGACACGACTATATGACTACACGAGTTTAAATCATCACGCGTCTCAACTTTCAACCCCCCCTCCGAAATTCCGGAAATGCGAGAAAATTATGCATTAACGATTAATCAATGCCAGAATAATCCCCATTTCACCCGAGATATATCAACGTAACTTGTTTTCAAACTGGAAAGGCATCCGGGACAATTAAATGTCGGGTAAGTAACTTCCCCATCTATCCCAAGTTTCCCAAACTAGCGGCTGAAGAAGGAAGAGACGACGGCTGTAGATTTGAGGGATGCCTGAAGGAGGACAGTAAACAACTTTGATTAAATATCTCCCTCGTTGAGGGGAATAAAATGAAGATAATCCTTCTTTGATTGCCCCTCCCTCATCTTTCCATTTCCAATTTCCACGTTTTTTTCCACTGTTTCGAGTGGATAAGTAATGCCCAGAGGGATAATTACTCTGTTAATAATTTTATTTTCATCCCAGGTGTTGAAGAGGATTGGAAATTGAATGAGTTCTGAAGACTACTCAATTGCGAATAAAAATCAGTAGCGAAGTGGTAAAACGGTTCAAATCGACTCATCTCCCCGTTGAGTTTTTGAGGAATTTTTCTGAATCTAAGGGAGATAGCGAAATTTTTGTAATTACATTTATTGTAGCTCATAATCGGCTCTACAAAAAAGGTTATAACAAAAATTTTGCCATCTCCCTAAGATTCCGAGATATTCATTGAAAACGGGTTAACTCGAAATTGCCTTATACCTTATACGTTTTACCACTTCGCTACTGAAATGATTCCATTCAATTGCAATTATCTCGATAGCCAGTAGTTCCACGGAAAAATGTCAGAAAATCTTTTTCGTAGCTGACGAAATGCTCTACAAAAGAGTTTTACTGACATTTTCTCGTAGAACGACTCATCCCCCAGATAATTCACCAATTAAAAATGGATTTATCAAAACGTCTCGACAATTTTTTAAACATCCTCAGATAATCTCAATGCCATCAAATAACTGAAAATCCCCGCCCCTTTAAGTAATCCCTACCAAAGCCAAATAATGAAGAACACTATCTTAAAAAAAAATTCTCTTCTCCCCATCAATAATACCACACGCAGGAAGCGCGGATCAATTACATAATGATAACGACACGGTGAAACGGATGCTTTTGCGCCCCCCCCTCCCCCGCCCGCCTCTTTTCCACGTATCACAGCAATCAAAGAGACAGAACCAGAGTTTCGCGCGTAAAACCCCCTTTATCCCCCCCCCCGGCCACATTCATCCCATCGTTCTTCCGTATAGCAAAGTGACTATAGAACAAAGGGTTGAGCCTCTTCTCTGCGGGCGCAGTAATTATTATGCTCTTTGACGATCCATACCCACTACCACCCCCGCCCCCCTCCTCCACCGCCGCCCCGGCCCCTCTCGTACCCTTTTTCAACGCCATTCCCACCCCCTAATACCCTCTCCACGTCTGTCAACGGTTGCCCCGACGAATCGATACTTCTAAAACTTTAATCTTTCGAGTTCCCGTGATCTGCATCCAAATGCCTGTTCCTGTTTTTTTGGGCAGGAGGAGGGGGGGGGGGTTTTTTGGGGGGAGGTTGATTGAAATTGTTGCTTTTGGTTGAGTTTTGAGAGTCATTGAGAGTAATTGAAACGGGAATTATAAATTGAAATAGTTTGAAATTGTTGAGGTGAAAGTGAAATTTGAAGGGATGAACTGAATTATCATTTTTTTATAACTGAGAAATCGTACGGAATATTTAGGAAACTTTATGGTGCACGGAGAGAAATATTCAATAAAAATTACGGATCTTTTCCGTAATTCCGGAGCGAAATGTGGTTGTAGGAAATTTCACGGAATTTTTCCAGAGCGTTCTGTAATTTTTATCTGGATCTCCTGTGAAAAATTACGATACCGGCACTTAAATTTTCGGAGTCGATTCCGTAATCGGTGAGTGAATTGAGAGTTCCGTAATTTTTACTGAATATTTCTCTCCGTGTGAATGGAAAAAATTCAGTAGCGAAGTGGTGAAACGGTACAACTCAATTTTGACCAGGGATAGCCAAATTTGTAATATTTTATTACCGTTAAATATTGTAGCCGTCAATTAGTTAACATCACTCTTAAATTTTTTGCGTACTTAAGTATCATCAATTCAAATATTCAAATTTTCAGCTGTTTTATCAATCAATAATTGAGGTAGGAAGATTGACGATTATTTGTGTCATCGAAAATCCCCTTTTAAGAAATTTGAATTACTCATTTAGTAGTAAATTAAATTTACTAAATTTACAGGTTCATATTAAGACATTTTAAATACATCATTATTCGAAAAATTGGATCAACATATTTAAAACTTCATTAATGTAAGAGTCAAATTCTTGTAATATTACAGAAATTGAATATTGATGGGGATCCCTGATTTTGACTATTGACCAGTTTTTAATGAATATCTCAGAATCCAAGAGAGATGGAAAATTTTTTGTTATAATCTTTTTTGTAGAGCCGATTGAGACCTACAACAAATATGGATACAAAAATTTCGCTATCTCTCTTGGATTCGGAAATATTTCTCACAAATTCAACTGGGAGATAAGGGGACCTGAACCGTTTTACCACTTCGCTACTGAATTCAATTGATGAATCCCTTTCCAAGTTTCGAACATTAAAAAAAAAGTCAATTGTCCATTTAGCCTCACCCTCCCCTATCGAATTAATTATTGAAGAATGGAAATAATCCCGTGACCAGTTTTCCCTGGAACATAAATTCCGTAGGAATGAAAAAACAAACGTAAGATGGAGAATCCCCTGTTATCCCTCTTTCTCCATCCGTCCATTCGCACCCCTCCCACAGGCTGAGGCCAAGAATTCGACTCTCTTCTCCCACCCCCGATCCCACGAATGATATTTTTTCAATAAAACTCAATTAAATAAAATTTCACGTTGATTGCTCAATTAAAAATTTAACGTATTAATTTCAGAAAATTCACTCCCTCTACTCTTCAATAAAAAATGGACTAAATACCGAAAAAAATTTAAAAAAGATGAAACCCAAAAGTGAAGTATCGAACATGCGAACAAAATGTACGCGGAGGGAAGAATAAAAAAAGTCAAAAAATTTTCATAAAAATGGAGGCAGTGCATGTTGTAATCCGGATGAGGATTAGCGTCGTCGAGTGAGCGTGTTCCATAAAAATGGTGGAAAAGTGGTCTCTCCCAGGAAAAAAAACATTCACGAGAGAAATGACTCCATCGAAAACTCATGAGTAGGGATTGATAATAATCATAATTCTATAAGAGAAGTTTTTCTTCAAAAAATAGAAGCCTGCTAATCTAAATTGTCGATTGACTATCAAATAAATACAACAAATAATTCTAAATTTCTTAAAAAACGATGTTTGAATAATTGATTAATGATAATGATTCAATTTCTGTAAGAATTGTGCAATATTATCAACTGACGTGTTATCATGAGAATTTTTAACCCTGGAGATAATGCATAGAATATATATTTATTACAAAATATTTAAAGAGCTGCATTACATAGTACTGAATATTCACGAACTAAATCCTCTTAATATATTCCACTAATCCTACTTTCTCATTTATCAATTAATTATAATCAGTCACAGTGGATCGTATTAGTACGTTGAAGGAAGCAGTAACGAAATTAAATCACATTTTGTGGATGGTGTTTTCAAAACACACAAATGAAAATAATAATAACAATAATAATAGTAATGAACAGTAATAACAGTGCGAAATTAACGAAGTATTAAGAAATGAGAATAGAAAATAAATACTCATGCTTCGAAGACTGGACTTTTCGGTGAAGAGAGCCTGTTCCAGTTGGTTTATTCGATTTTATCGAGGGGTGTGAAGGCTTTTAGGCATTCTCACTGGCTGGTCTCTTCTTATTCTGGAAAAAGCCAAAATAGAAATTATGAAAAATTGTAGCAAACTAAACTGCAGATAAACTCGTTCAATTATTGAATTGTTAAACTGATTATTTGATCGCAGATCCGAGGTTAAATAAATCATTTGAAAGTATAAAAATACTTTAAAATAACTGAATTAAATAAACCTACTGTTTGCTTGGTAGATTTAACTTCAGTACTTGAGGCCCTAGTTTTCGAACGTTCCTGTTCCAATTGTGCATGAAGAGACTGCACCTCAGACGTCAATTCGTCCCGAATTTCCTGGAGCTTAGCAACTTCAGCTAGAACTGTAGCTTTATCTTTCACTAAAACCGAAAAAAACCCCAAGAAATTAATTATTAACGACTACATGAAGGAGATTGTGAAGAATTATTGATTTTATCTGACAAACTCACTCTCCCCAAGTGATAGAATCTGATAAAGCTTCTTATTCCTCTCCTTGACCTGTGACAATTCAGCTTTGAGTGTCTCCACCTCATCCTTGAGCTCCAGAATCTGTTCGTTCCTCTTTTCAACCTCGACTTTCAACTGTGCAGACGTTATGTCATTATCCAGAGTGTTCAACCGTTTCTTCAACATGTCTCTCTCTTTGCATTTGATAATCTCCTCTTTAGTCTCTTTGTCCATTCTCTCGAAGAATTCTGCATCTGATTCAGCTGCACAAAAAAAAACAATTTACGTAGAGATTATTTTTAATGATTTTAAATGAAGAAAGAAATTACGAATGTCGTTAGTTGCGTACTTTTATGTTTGAATGGCTTGGAATCCTGATGATTAGCAGTCCCTGTAGCTTCATTGCTCCCCATATTATTGAATTCCTCAAGAGACATTGTGGATTTCTTCGACTTCTTCCCGCCAGACTTCTTCGTTACATCTGCATCCTTGATAACATTCTCTATCTGTGTCTCGTAGGCCAGTTTTGATAGGATCAGGGCTTCGTGGAGCTCCTGCTTGTAAGCTTCCTCTACAGCCTAGGCACAAAAAATAAACATAACAAATTTAACAGCTGCGTGAAAACGGTAAAAAAATAAAAAACCGTGCCACTTTTGTTTGCATCTCGTGAAGGAGTGGTTCTACCTACACTAAGGGAAAAACAAACACGTTGCCAAACAAGTCTTGTTTGGGCCAACAAAATCGCTAGTTGAAAATTGCCAAAAAAGAATTTGTTTGGATTGAATTTGAAAGTCTCAAACATGAATATAATTGTTCTGCTTTCGACAGCAACGAAATATTTGGCTCAAGAGACGGATAATTCACACCAGACGGGGCCTTTTCAGGATGAAAATATCTCATATAGAGGAAAATTTATCAACAAATATTTTATCCCTAAGTTACAAGATTGCTATCGTATCTTTATTATTGTTTCATTTAAGGGTTCATTTATTGTCTGTGATTATTAGACAGCCGAAACGAAAAACTACTATCCCATGTTTCGCATAAAACAAAGATTTTTCGGGAGCAAAATACGTATGGGAGTATCGAATAACGAAGGAGTAGTACTAGAAATGACATTTCTTGCGTGTATAGAGAATGCAATTTTTTTTTAACTACTAAATCCATTTTTGCGACAAAAATTTTTCATTCCGGCGCAGTCTTTTTTGATAATTTTCAAAAAGCTATTCTTTTGGCACAAGTAAGACTTGTTTGAGAATTTTATCGTTTTCCTCTCAGTATATGAATCGAAAATGACGTCGAGATAAAAAACAATTGTAGAAAAAAAAATTGAATTAATTGTAAAATTAAGGCCCGAGTGTATTATATTTCGAATGTTATCTCGAAGTTGTTTTTTCATCTTTCGTCAATAATAATCAATAATAAAAAAAAAAAGTAGAAAAAATTCTTAATTTTTTCAAAGAGCATTTTTAATTTATATTCAGAATAAGTTGAATAACAAGAAATTGAAAAATGTATGATTTACGGTGACAAATGGCGGCCTGTCACCCAATATCATGCAGGGGGAAGACTGATTTCGTAAATGTTTCCCACGAAAAGGGCTCTTTGAAAAAAGTAATATTTTGGAGAATTTTTTAATTACACTTTTATCATATAAAAATGGCAGATGACTACATACCACTGTTTTGAAAATTGAGATACCTAGCTGTCACTTCCCATGAGGAGTTAGTGTTTTGTTATCCACCACGGAAAATGACATCTAACAGATAATTTGCCACGCGAATCAGATATTTGTAATTTCCACTTTTTTCAACTCATTCTGAATCTCAATTAAAAACCGTCTTTGAAAAAGTTCAGAATTTTTTCTATTTTTTTTATCATTCTATCATAATTTTTTGGAATTTCTACATGATGTACCACTCAATTAACAATTTTGGATTACGAAAGATGAAAAAAATCCAGATAACATTCGAAAGATAGTACACCCGGGCCTTAAACAAAATTAATTAATCAACTACAACTGCTGTCTTTTGATAATTCCCCTAAAACATACCATAGTGTCCTTCTCCTTCCACTGCTCCCACTGCTGAGTCTCCTGGTTTCCCCTCTTCTTCTTAGACTGCAAAAACAAAAGCACGAAAATTCAAAGCACTGAAACCAAAACTTTTCCATTGTCCCTTATCTAAATCTAACCATTCAAACTTTCCCGCCGACTCGTGCCCATATCATCGACCATTAGCCGGCGAGATAAATAAAAACAGAACCTCAAACAATCAACTCACTTTGCTCTTCTTATTTTTCTCGTCCTTCTTGGGGCCCTGGCTCTGTCCCTTGGGCTTGTCATTTTTCCTCTTGACATCACTCTTGACATTGCTCGATGACTTTTGGCTCCTCTTGGGCTTGGGGTCATCGTCATCGAGAGCAAGAACAGCGAATCGTGAAGGCACAGTGGTCGCCATTGTGTGAATTCGATTTTTATTTTCAGTTTTCAGAGCGATTGATCTGCCCGAAATCAACGGTGGAAACAGTGCTCAAGACGAGGCTCAATTATTTTTTCTCACGATTACGATATGGCTAAGTGACTTCCGGTGCGTGATGAAACGGCCCCAACAATTGTATCCACCATAACTCGATTATTTATTCGTGGAAAATCCGAATGTTTTGGTTTTTATCTCGCGCAAACTCCGCGGGATGAAGTAAATTTTTTTGTTGTATTTTTCTGGGGTGATGAATGGAGAAAAAGAGGTGAAGAATGATCGGGGGGTTGTAGTGCGCATACCGGAAGTCGAGAGCATGTGACGACGCGAGTTGAATCAGGGGGGGCAATGGAAATTGGGAAAGAGCGGGAAGGATTGATATTGGGAATAAATCGCTACACGATGCGTCACCATTTGGATTCATTTTCTCCCATATTGAAGGTTTCTTAAGTAACTTTGAAATGAAATGAGATTTTCCCGATTTCACTCAGTCAATGTCGAGTTATTCAAGATTGAAGATGAATAGTTTTTTCCTTATTCTTCGAACATTGAGTTTTGGTTTCGTCATAGTCTTCGGGAAATATATCGGAATTGAAGGGTGATAGCGATATTTTTGATAAAAAAGTTTTTATGGAGAACTTCAGGGGCTACAAAAAAGGTTCTCTCAAGAATTTCGCTCTCTCTCACCGATTCTGAGATATTTTCGAAAAACTCTCTTTGAAGTTTACTCAACTTATAGCGGTGCAATGAAAAAACGATAATTTTCTATTTCCAATATCTGACGATCGGTAGAGTCAATTTAAAAAAATCCAACGCCATTTTGAAGGCATTTCCATAAAATTTCAATTGACACCAGATTTTTTGGGATTGCATCATTTAATCAGGAGGCGTTCACGTTTAAAACCAGTTGACTTTATCCTGTATTTGAATCACCTCTCAATAATTATGGAACTGTCTTAATAATTAATTATACAGTCTCCAATAACGAATTATAAACCCCACAAAGCCCAAGTATCTCGACAATAATCCAAATAAAAAAACCAAGACTTGAAAACGAAAAGCAAACGAAATAAAATTCTCAAGTTGTCAGCCCTGGTACCCAGCGAGCACTGATGCAACGCGCAAAATGGCGCTTCGTATTCAGTGGTGTATTCATTGAAAACCCATGAAGTGCCCCGTTGCACGTCGGGTAAACCGAAATATGTACGTACGTCGCACAGCCTTGGAAAAAGCGTTGAGTTGTTATATCCATCGACTAAAATAAAAACATTGAGGTGAAAAAAAACCTCATCCCTCACCCTCTCGTTCCCCCGCAAAACAATAGTTCCAGTGTTGGTTAAATAAAATAAAACTCAGTGATATTAAATCCTCAAAAAGTTGCATTGTTTTTGGGGTGGGCAGGTAGTGGGGGCAATACAACTGGGTGAAATAAATACACATAGCCGGTGGAGGTGATTTTTCGAGGCAGGGGACGAAAATACGAGGTGAGAAATTTCGAAATAATTTGTGTGCCAGAGTGCTTGGGGGGATTGAGGCATCCACAGAGGAATAGTCGTCCTGGGGGACGCCTAGCCATCCACCGAATCCATTTCCAAGTCACGGGTGTACCTCGCGACCACCATATTTCCAGGCATTTTTCGTTTTCTGGTTTTTTCACCCACAAAACTCTTCATTTTTGGGGAAAACCCAGAGCCCTTTGCCACTTGGATTTTTATTCCTCTGGGGAAGTGGGTTTTTACTCTTGGTTAAGAACCCAATCGGTGTTCCGAGCAATTTTCCCGCGATTTTCGGATTATTGTGGCACTTGAACCCTCGGGGGAGGGCTTTCATCGGGGCTGGGGGAAAATGACGATTTTCAGTGTTTTTTGGAAATTTTTTAGGTCTGGTTTCCGTTGGTGGAGATGGCCACTTGCAGAGGACCATTTTTGGGGTCAACTGAGTTGGGTGAATAACAATCGGTATGGGCAACTATCTCATTATGAATGGAGAATTAATTAGCTCGGTGGGGGAATGTGAAGCATGAAACAGACGATTTTTTGTCGGTGATTGCTGGAGATCGACAGAGTCGAAATGAGAGTTGATTTTTTTAATCGTATCGTTGGATTTGGAGGTCTTGATGGTTTTAAGAAGTCAATTGTTTCACTTTCCCCTGAATGGAGATAATTCGATTTTAGTTGGGGTTTCTTTTGTTGGAAATATCTTGGAATCTGTAGGAGATAGCGATGTTTCTGTGAGGACCTTTTTTGAAGAGCTTTTCTCACTCTACAAAAAGTTCCCCATCAACATTATCGTATCTACGTTGTATTCAGAGATATTTAGCCAAAACTGAACTACAGTTGAGTTTCGAATGAAAATTAATTGGTTTTGGTCTTTTAAATTGCTGGTAAATTGGTCTTAATTGGTTTTTTGTGTTGATGTTCTCCCTCCAGGAATCTCAGATGTAACCCATGTGTGCTAAATACAGACTAAGGACAATAGCCCTGGTAATTCATATAATTTACGTGTGCTCCACCATCTGGTGAATCGAAAGGACTCAAGATGTGCGACCAGACAGAAATTCGCTATTTAGATGGCGATGTGGTCTGGGTGAAGCTGGGCCCCTGCTGGTGGCCTGGACAGGTCACCGGGGTGGACAACCTCCCCGAGGATCTCAAAGTGGATTTCAATAGGAAGCCACCCATTGCTGCTGTCAAGTTTTTCCAGGAAAATTCTTAGTAAGAACTAATATTCAATGATGAAACGAGATATCTTCTCAGAGAATTAATAATTATTTTTGTCGGTTATTCCACAGTGAATTTGTGAAGAATATACATCAGATTTATCAGTACAACTGCACACAGAAGGATGAGTTTATCAAGAAAGGCCTAGGTAATTGTTGAAATAAAATTAAGGTTTCTCATTTTTTTAATTGTTGAATTATCTCGTTAATGACTGGAAGAAGATGAGTGGTTTTTCACATCTTTTTATAAGTCTGATTATTTCAGTAAGGAGTGATTTTCGGTGATAATATCAAAATACATTTTTTGTTGGAAATTAAATCAGCAACAAGAAAGGTTTTTTGACATTATCTCCTACAGTCACTCTTCACCAAGATAATCCGAGTTTTAAAAAAATATGAAAAATGCATCTCCTTTTACTACTTCGCTACAGAATTTAATCAAACTATTTTTCAAGTGATGTAAAAACTAATGACACATGAACCAATGAAATAAAAGTGGATTTATGAGAAAAATTCTGCAGTGAAGTGGTGAAAGGCGATGAGTGGATTTTTCACATCTTTTTATAAGTCTGATTATTTTATAAGGAGTGACTTTCGGCGATAATGTCAAAATACATTTTTTGTTGGAAATTAAATCAGAAACAAGAAAGGTCTTTTGACATTATCTCCTACAATCACTCTTCACCAAGATAATCTGAATTTTAAAAAAATATGAAAAATGCATCTCCTTTTACCACTTCGCTACAGAATTTAATTAAACTATTTTTTAAGTGATGTAAAAACTAATGACACATGAACCAATGAAATAAAAATGGATTTATGAGAAAAATTCTGCAGTGAAGTGGTGAAAGGAGATGAGTGGATTTTTCACATCTTTTTATAAGTCTGATTATTTCAGTAAGGAGTGATTTTCGGTAATAATGTCAAAATACATTTTTTGTTGGAAATTAAATCAGCAACAAGAAAGGTTTTTTGACATTATCTCCTACAATCACTCTTCACCAAGATAATCCGAGTTTTAAAAAAATATGAAAAATGCATTTCCTTTTACCACTTCGCTACAGAATTTAATTAATCTATTTTCTAAATGATGTAAAAACTAATGACACATGAAAAAATAAAATAAAAAAAAAACATTTTTTCTCCCCCAGACAAATACCGTACAAAACACAAAAATGGATCAAAACTGATGGACAAATTCCCTGGGGACGTGGAGACCGCAGAGATGCTGACCGGTGGAGACCCCAATATCCTGAAATCGGAAAAATTCTGCCCTGAGGAGAAGCCCGACATATCCGCGCTGTTCGGCGAGAAGAAGTCCCCAAAGAAGAAGCAGAAACCTAAGGACGACGAGATGACACGTCGCAGTTACTCGACCGGGCACAAGATAGTCCGCCCCCGTATGCTGAGGGAGAGTGAGCACGAGGTGAGGATACGTCACCAGCCGAGCAGTCACCCGACGACGCCGACCTCAGGTGACCAGAATATCTACGCCTGCCCCCTGTGCAGCTTCACAACGACTCGAGTGAACGTCTTGATATGCCACAACAAGAGCCACCGAGAGGGCCCAGTGGAGGGTGCAGTGAGGCCTCTGCTGGCAACGCCCAAGCGACGATCCCTAGGAGACGAGCCCCAAAAGCGAAAATACGTGAGGAAGAACAAGAGCCTCCCCAGGCTGAAGAACGATCGTCTGAGTGAGCCTGTGAAGAGAAAGCAGAAGCAGCAGGAGAAGACAACGAAGAAGAAGAAAGCAGATCCTGAGATAAACGATTTGCTAGCCGACTGGGACGACGGATCCGACGACATGGAGGTGGACATGAACAAGTCGACCCCCATCAGCAGTCCCTTGACTAAAGACAGAAAGCCTGAGGACGACGAGGACACTGACCTCCTGAAGGAATCAGAGAAACTGCTGAAAGAGACTGAGAGTTTGTCCACGCACTTGGAGAACTCAAAGACTAAATCACTGGAGGATCCCCTGTTCGACGAGGCGATCCTCAAAGCTGAGTTGAAAAAGACACTGGAGGATGCTGAGGACCCGCAGGAGTCGGAGAGCCTGTCGGCACGCCTGCAGAGCTCGATCAGTAAACCGTTGGGCGATTCTGTGGGCGAGGAGGCTGTCCTGAGTCCAGTTGTCAAGGATAAACAGATGAAGAAGAGGACTCCTGAGGAGGAGGTGAAGGAGTCGGAGAATTTGTCGAGTCGTTCGAAGAATTCCAAGACTAAACCACTCGAGAATGATTCCCTGCACGAGGAACCTGGACTCAGCCTTCCAGTGGTCAAGGAGAAGTCAGCACTCTCGAAGAAATTGAGGAAGTTCCTCGGGGAGAGGAAGAACTCGACTCCTGAGAACGAGGAGGAAAAAAAATCCAAGTTATCGTGCTTTGATTTTGAAGACGAGGAGCCAGAGCCTGCTTTGCCCCCAGTGAGGAAGATCCCTCGAGTCTTCGGTGAGAAGAACACTTCCCTGAAAAAGGAGATCATCAAGGAGTTTGTACTCTCTCAGGCGCTGGCTGAAGAGAAGGAAGCGGAGAGCAAAGCGAACGAGAAAGAGGCGAAACCTGAGGAGAACCTGAATGAGGAATCGAAAAAAAGCCAAGACGATGATAAACTGACGCAGGACATCATGAAAACTGTCGACGAAGCCAGTGAACTAGTGGCCAAAATCGCCTCCGAGACTGAGAGGTCCAACGAGGGCAAGTCCAAGCGAGACGTGACTGAGACAGAACTTGAGATTGTTGAGATACTGGAAGTTGAACGTGAGAAAGAGCCAGAGGAGGAAGTGAAAGCTGATGATCAAGAGAAGATGGAGGAGTCTGTGGTGGAAGCTCAACGTGAATTGCAAGGTGAACCTCAACCTCAGCCTGAACCCGAGAAGATTCTGGACAATCACAAGTCCCCGAAGCACTCCCCATCGAAATCCCCAGGGAAATCCCCTCGAAAATCCCCATCAAAGTCCCCAATGAGATCCCCGAAGAAGCTGACACCAACTTCAAGTCCAGCAAAGTCTGGAGTACTGCCAAAAGACCCTAAAGACCTCGAGGAGATTGACATTAACTCTGGAAGGGTGACGATCGAGAGTGAAGAGGAGACTTTAACAATCTCCCAGCTATCGAACGCAGGATCTGGAGATGGGGTGGAGATGGGATGGAATCAGCTGAGTGAAATCATAGGTGACAAATCCTCGACGGAGTCCCCATCAGTGGAGTCTCCTCAGCCAAAAGCAGTTGAAAAAAAGCCAGCGAAACGTCGAGGAAGACCTCGCAAGTACCCCCTGCAGACAGACGTGAGTGGAAATGGAGACTCCTCAACGAGATTCGAAGAGCCTCAACTCCCTGCCACCCCTGACAGCCATGAAACAGACAGAAAAACGTCTGAGTCTGATGGGGAGAGATCGTACACTGGGAGAAGACGAAAGCCGAATAAAAAGTACCTGGAGTCGGATATTTACAGCTCGTCCCCAGGTCGCAGGACACCTAGAACTGATGACAGCCAGTCAGAGACTGAGGAGAAGGAGCAGAAGGTCAAGGGGAGGAGGGGAAGGAAGCCATCAGCCATCAGCAAGGCAATCAGAAAGTCTCTGGAGGAGTACGAGTTCTCGGATCAGACACTGGACAGTGCTGAAGAGGCTGGAGTCTCCACCCCAGTCCCAAAGTCACCGATTAAATCCCCCGAATTTACGGCTGTGAGACATGATGGCATGAGCCCAGTCAATATCACTGATCTCCTAGCAACAAGTGACGTTGAAATTAAGTCCCAGGGATTTGGAAGTCTTGAGACTGATCGAGGTTTGACGACAGTTGAAACTAAAGTGCAGATAGTAGAGACTAAAGTTCCTGAGGTGCATAACGAGGAGAAGGAGGAGGAGGAGGAGGCGGCGGAGGAGAAGAAGATTGAGATGCTTCCACCAAAGAAGTCCCAGATCAAAAAATTCGAGATGTCTCAGATGGATTCTCAGGAAGCAATGGTGACTAAACCTGAAAATGAAGCTGAAAAAGTGGAGACTAAAGTCGAGCCTGTGGAGGAGGAGGTAAAGCCTGAGGTATCAAACGAAATTGTGCAGGAGACTGTTTCAGTTTCAGAGGTGATAACGACTGTTGTTCAGGTGGAGTCAGAGACTGCTGATGGCACCGTTGAGAATATCGTTGAGGAGACCATTGAGAATATAATTATTGAAGAGGTAATTGAGGCAAAGGCGACAATCGTCGAACCTGAGAGTCAAGAGCCAGAACAAGAACCTGTTGAGGCAAATATTCCAGTGCCTTCTGAATCTACTGAGCTCACTGAATCTATTGAAGCCCCTGCACCAGTCCCTGAACAAGTCCCTGAGGAAATTCCTGAGGAAATTCCTGAGGAGCCGAAAGCACCTGAGGAGCCAAAAGCCCCTGAAATCCACCCAACCCTCAGCATCGAGGAGAAAATCCTCACCGAAGTAATTGAAACAGTGGTTCCAGCGACTCCTGAAGAAGTCCCCAACGACACAAACGTCCCTCCCCCCCAGGAGTCCATTCCCTCCCCACTCCCAGAGGCCTCCAACTCCATTCCCTCCCCCCAGGAGGCCCCATCACCAAAAAAATCCCCTGCAAAGCCATCTCCCGCCCCTGCAGACGTTTCAGTCCCCGTGAAAAAGCGAGAGAAACCCCGAATAATTGAGAACGTGGCCTTGCGAGAGCCCATGCAAATCCTGAAATCAAAACTGCTGGAAAAACAGCCGTCGAAAGGTATCAAGCACAAACTAGAAATCGATAATTCCTCGAAAAATGAATCTGGTTGCACCCCACGAGCAAAAATGATGAAACTCGACTCGAATAAATCAAACTCTTCCCCGAAGACTCCCCCAGGTCAGTCGATAACCAAAAAACTCCAGGTCCTGAAGGCAGAAGAGGCTGTAGACCACCAACAGGACAAGTTAAACCTCTCCAACACGATCAGCATCGCCTCGAGTGGCACCTCTGACCCCTCAGACGTTGAATTCGACATAAACTCAATTCCCTTCGTAATGAGTGAGGATCTGACCCCTGAGAAGGTCGAGCAAATGCCAGTGATGATGTCCTCGATAATCTCAACGCCATCTTCGAGCGCTGTCACACCAGCCCTCACCCTGACGACCCCCACGACCCAAATGGCAACCAATCAGGTGCAGTTCAAGCCCACAGTGACAGCTACTGAGACAAGCACCCCCGAGAAGGCCCCAGCAAAGAAGAAAACAGCATCGCCAACGATTTTAAAGACCAAAACAAAAGCCAAACCGACGATAACCAGCATAAAAACCCTAGTCCCCCCATTGACAGGTGGAGTCAAGGGCTTGAAGTTCCAGAGTCAGCAGGGAACAAAGACAATGCCAATGCTGACGACCTCCAAAGGTTCTCCAGGAAAATACGTTATCGTTCAAGCAGGCACTGGAGGCCAGCCAGTTCGTTACACAGTCCAGGGTACGACAGCAATGTCCCAAAAGATGTCAATATCATCAGCTAAAACGTCAACAGGAAATCCCCAGATCGTCCAACAGGGGAATAAAGTCGTTATCCTGACGTCACCGACGTCTGGACAGACTAAAATGGTCCCCCTGGCTGTTCAGAAGACGATAACAACAGGAAAGGTCCAGAAAATTGTGTCGAATAAAGGACAGATGTTGGGTAAGACGATGATAGCCCCCAAGAGTGACACGAGCTCTCCAACAACGTCAAAGCACACTCCCAGTGGTCAGAAGATTGTTAACACTGGGCTTCTGTCGAAGGGGGTGTTCACACCGATAACAGGAACTAAAACAGTCCTGGGAATTCCCCAGCATTTCATCACCCAGAAGGGGGTCATCACCCAGATAAATGCCTCTCAAATATCTGGAAAATCAGTGATGGGACAGAAGACGTTTGTCACCAACAAAGGAACATTCTATCCAATTCCGACTCAGGGAGGTGGGAAGACACTCCTCACCCCCATATCCCAGAGCTCTTTAGCTGGAAAAACGATAATAACAAGTGCTGGATTGGTGCCAGGCAAGGGAGCAGTCCTGACGCCGTTCACTGGACAACAGGTGAAGGCTATGGCTGCTAAAGGGACTCCAGGTAAAGGTGCCAAAATGCAGTATCAAGCGGTCCAACAGAAGGTGCAACTCCCAATGCTCCAGAAGAAGATTCCACTGTCCTCTGCAACAACAGTGCAGCGAGTTGGGGCTATGAAGTCACCTGGCACAATTATCCTGCAGAATCCACCACCTCTGCATCAGACCACTCCTCAGACACCTGGGAAGATGACTCCGAAGAAGATAATAAGGCAGACTGTGATGTCACCGCTGTCCCCACAGCCAGGAAAGTCGCAGACTCAAACGTTCCAGAGATCAAAGTCTATGGCGACGACAGTGACGCCTCAGAAGGGGAGACAAACTAAACAGAAGATAGTTATTCAGAAAGTCCCCCAGGAGACTCCCCCCAAGGGAGCAATTCCAATTGTCAAAACTCCTGGACAAAAGACGACAGTATCCACTCCTGGAGGTGTACCAGGAACGAATAGAGTAGTGCGAGGACAGCCAGCAGTGAAAAGCATGCAGAAACAGCTGTCAACACCAGTGACTCCAGCATCTCCAGTGGTTCCAGCTGCAGTAGCATCGGAATCTCCATCAGAAGATAAAAAATCAGGTCCAGAGGTCTCGAAGATCGATGCCAAGTCAGTGGAGGCATCGACATCAACGACACCAACGGAACCAGTGAAACCAGAGGAGCCGAAGATACCTGCCCAGCCCCAGATAATGGCACTCCCCACTGAGAGTGCTGATGGCAGTCAAACATATGTTCTCGTGACTATCGATGAACAAGGCCAGATTCAGCCACTGGACAACAACGCCCTGATGTCCCTGGAGGGTACAACTGCCAATGCCGATGGCTCCAGAACCCTGTACATCGATCCAAGCTCTCTAGATCCCTCAGGAGCTATTGATAACATTGTTCTCCAGTTTGACAACACTGCAGTCGCTACTTTACCACCAACAAATGCCCCAGAGGCCCCGCAAACTGTCTCCGAAGGATTTCAAACGTCTAATCAGGATATTCTAGCAGCAGCCCTGGCTAATACTGACTTCCAGCAGGAGATTGGACTGCCTGAGACCACTGTGGCCAGTGTGATGACAGCTGGGATAACTCAAACAAGTCTGGACACTCAAACAATCCTCCAGAGCACTCTGATACCCTCTGCAGAGCCCATCTCGTCCCCATCGGTCTTGGAGACCTCTCTCACCCTCAATCAACCCATTATGACTCCACTGGAGGTCCCCAGCAGTGTTGGCATCCAATCAGACGTCACCGACGCAGCACCAGTCTCCAGCATGGCATCACTGGAAATTCCCATCTCGATCAACAATGCAAAAATCTCCTACATCGCAGCTCCTGAGGGTATACTTCCTGGAAACTCCATGCCTGACATTGGGGAACTCATGGAGACCCCAGAGCCCGCTCAAGTCCAGGGTCAGACTGCCAGTCAGTACCTGGTGATTCCAGATTTGCAAACGGGAATTGAGAGACAAGAAGCCACTGCCGAGGCACCAGCCTGCACAATCTCCTACGCTGTTTCAATTCCAGAGAATGTTGTCCTGGACTCTGGGCACGTGCAGACGACTCCGTCGATGCCCATAATCGATGATTCTTTCGTTGATAATGTGGAATTCCCCGAGGGCAGCGCTCAGACTGCAACTCCTGACGAATTAGCCAGGAGTACGCCAACTGATGAGAATGCACAGGTCCCACAGGAGGAGAACAAACCCCCAGAGGAGGCAGAAACAGGACACGAGGTCATTCGAGACATGCCAATTGTCCAAACCGACGAGACCGATCACACTCCTTCAGCGAATCCTCCAGAGGGTGAGGACAATGCGAGTAAGATCAGTAGTTGCCTGGAGGAGGCATCAGCCTCAGAAACAAAACCACCAGAGGCTGATGTGGAGTCGTCGGGTGCTTTCGAAGTTGAGACAGCAAAACCCGAAGACAGTTCCTCCAAAATTGAGGATGAACCCGAGCCAATGGAGACTGAAACTGCTCCTGAGGTCCAGGTGAGCCCTCCAGTGGCCCAGTCGAGCCAGCCTGAGCCCATGGAGGTCGACTTTGAGAAAGTCGAGGTTGGAGGCCGGGATACTGTTGACGGTGTTGACGAGACCCCTTCTCAGTCCTTCGAGAAGTTCGAGAGTCTTTCGATAAATAATGACGAGGTGATTTCCCAGTCGACGTCGAAATCAGTGGGGACTGAAGCCACTCAGTCGAGTCCTTACGAGCACATGGAGATGGAGACGACAGTGGCTGGAGAGCCACCAACTCAGTCCTTCGAGGATGCCAGGGTGGGATCAGGTGCATCAGTCTCGCAGTCGTCTTACGAGGGCTCCAGTGAGAACACGAATGCTCCCACCCAGTCTTTCAATGAGGTCAGGGCTTCTGACGAGGCATCTGATGATCCCAGCTTTCCAACGCAGAGCTATGAGGTGGGGAATGCTGATAATATTGTGGAGTCTCTGGAGACTGATGGGGAGATCAGTCAGGAGGGGAACATTCCCTCGCAGTCGAATGACGTGGGGAACGAGGGCATTGGCACCTCAGGATTCTCCAATAATTCGGGACTGAATGAGGATGAGACTGCGAGTTCCTCGTACGTTCCTGAGACACCGGAGACCCAGGAGAGGGATCAGGATCAGGAGAGTGCTATCAGCACGTCGAGCTACGAGATTCCTCCCTGCGATGAGATCAATATTGCTACTTCCAGTGTTATTGCGGACACTTCGGTGGACACTGGGAGCCTGCATGACAATGGAGTACCTGAGATTCCCACATCTTCGTATAATCTCAATCCTGACAGCAGTTCTACGCATGTCGATGCTGTACCCACGTCCAGCTTCGAGGATCAGGTCGTTGTCGAGCAGAATGTGTCGACCTCCTATGAGGTGCCAATCTCCATGCCCAGGTTGGAGGGGGAGTCCGCTCAGAATTTTGTCAGTGAGAGCTCCGATCAGAGGAACGAACCCAGTAGTTATTATGCACGCAATCCTGAGGTAAGTGTCGGTGGGGGATTTAATTAGTTGAGCTTTTCACGTTTTTTCAGTAAAATTTATTAATTCAGATTTTTTGAGGTATAAAAAATGTTTTTGGAGATTTTTCTGTAAAAATATTTGCTGAAATTGGGAGCACAGAAAGTTTTAATTCGTTAATTATCAATTAACGAATTGATAATTAACGAATTCAGTAGCGAAGTGGTAAAATGGTTCCAGTCGATTTTGACTATTGACCAGTTTTTAGTGAATATCACGGAATCTGAGGGAGATAGCTAAATTCTCGTCGAAACCTTTTTTGTAGCACTCAATTTGCTCTAGAAAAAAGGTTATTACGATAATTTCATCATCTCCTTTAGATTCGGAGATATTCTTCAAAAACTCAACTAAGAGACTAAGTCGACTCAACTAAGTCGACTTAAATCGTTTTACCACTTCGCTGCTGAATTTTTTAAATGATTTTCCAAATGATAAAAATGCTATTTTCAACCAGTGTCAAGTCCTCGAATCCTCACTAATTCCGATTAATCACCTCCCCAGGAAGTAACGTCAGAACCAAGTCAAAGCTACTTCGTGCCAGAGGGTCCAAGCCCCAGTTATCCAACCGAAACAGTCTCCCCCAGCTGTTACGACGCACCACCAGAGACCGAAGCAAGTCAAAGTTACTACTCAACCCAAGAGATGGACAGAACCGAGCAGTCCTCCTCGAGAAACGTGGAGGCCTCCCCGAGTTTCTACCAGGACACCCCCGACGAGGTGCGACTGCGATCCCAGGGTGAGGCGACCCCCACCTACACCGAGAGATATCCCCTCGACTACACCCTCGACAATTCACCGATCGAGAGGCACGACCTGGTGGAGAGTTCAGTGCCAGCGACAAAGCCCACCGAGAGGTAATAATCAGCAGGACAAAACTGTTTTATAATATCTCCCTTCATTAAAATATATACACCTGTATGTATATATCTCCTTTTAAACGTGCTCCTGAAGTGGCTGAACTACCAAGTGCTGGTAAAGAAAACAAATTTAACGAATAGAAATGACTTAAGTGTAAATATTAAAGAGGAAGAACGAAACATTTTGATGGTAAACAGTGCTAGGGGTAGATCCTTATAATTTATATTGACACGAGAAAAATATAGTAATCTGCGAGGAGTCTATATCGAGTGGGAGAAATGAAAATTCAATGACAGAACAGATTAACACGAGCACTCGATTATTTTCATCATCAGGCTTTCGTTCAATCAAAAAAAGAAAAACCAATCATGATTTTTAAGATTTTTCTAATTGAGGGGGGGGGATGGATAATTGGTACCACAAACTCGTCACTTCAGTTACGTTTAAAATTATAATTGAGTAATGTAGATTGACAGGATGTCTGTGACACTGACAGTTGCAATATCTCATTGGTACTGATGGATTTAATAAATTATGGGGAGGCATTGTTTTGAGGATTCACGGTTACTCTGAGGGATCGCATCAAAGCTTTGTTTAGAATTAATCACTATAGTGTTTAATTTGTTTAGAGGATAGGTGAATACAAAAATAAATGGAGTATATGAAAGTTTATTTGAGGTGAAATATCAGAGTTTCCACTATATGATTTTGAGATATTTTTTTCTTCTTTTATTTTTCAGCGTATAATCTTTGATGTTAATTAATGTGGTAAATAATAAGGGTGAGGATTGTGGATTTTTTGAGTATGTGAGAGGCTTGAAAAGTTTGTCGAGTTGTTGGAAATTAGTTTTTGTAATCAGGGGTTGATCAATCATCTGGAGGGTGTATATAAACGACTGATGACACGACTCCATGATAACGAGTTACTTTTATTTTTTTTTATAGCAAAAATCATTTGTGATTTTAAATGGGGGTTTGAGGACTTGACAGACTTCTCATGGCTCTAAAAACTGAAAACTAAACAAAAAAAACAAAAAAAACATGATAATTATAATTATTACCTTTATAGCCTCAACAAAATATGTTATATTCTAAAAAATAAACAAAAACTATGTTTTTATTTTTTTTCTTTCTCTCTGTGTGGGCGTTGTTAATCATGATCAGTCAGGTATGTAAATATTGTGTTAAATAAGGGTTTGAAATGTGCAAAATGAAAATTAAAAATCACAAAAATTAACAGAATGAAGACAAAAATCTACCCTTGAAGATTGGATAGAACCATTACGTGATTGTTATTTTTTAGTTATTAATAAAAGAACGCGTTTTTAGGATAGAGTGCGTGGTTAAAATTACGGGGAAAATACTAATTAATATCACATTATGAACATTAAATATCATTTTCAATCACTAATAACTAATGAGAAAGAATTTTTACCGTGTGCACCAGAAAATTGAGACAAACAAATTAAATGTAACTATGAAGTGAATATTGAAGATAAAAAAAAATAAATACACAAATATTTACGTAAATAGTAGACTGTAAAATAATAGTCTGCCCTTCAACACGAGAATTCGTTCGAATTTAACTATTGGGATATCCGGTGAGACGAGGGGTAATTCACCATTGTTTTTATACGTATAAATAAACGAATGAATAAATGACTAATGAGTAATTACGGAGGGGTGGAATAAATTTGAGTGATTCAATATTAGGATTAAATATTTTAATATCGAAATAAAAAGGCAATCCCAAAATATATTGCAGGCATTATTCATAAGTCCTATGGAACACAGTCTTGTTGATGAGTTATGCTAGGGGAAGATTAACTAAAATAAACCTTTCTTAAATCTTCAATATCTCCGGATTAGACGATGCGATTTGAATAAATCAAGGCTCATTTTGAAGTCTGAAAAGAAACCTTTGAAAAGACAAAAACAACATTCAATTTCACTCAGCCAATCTCGAGATATTGACGATTGAATAATGGATATTTTAATTTCCTCTTCCTTGCTTACAAAGGAATAAATTTTTGATTCTCTTCATAATTTTTAATTTTATTATGAAAAAAATGAAAAATTTCAATTTTTTTAGAGATATTTACAATTTATTTTCTCCAGTATTGCGCAAATTTGTGGAGTTGTTCAACGAGAACAGCCATGACAGCAGTAACCGAGAGATCCAGTAGATTATGAACATAATGCACAGCTTCTTCATCGCTCAGGTCCAGTCGTAATTTATCCTGGACCTTTTTCACTGCCTTGTCTGGCTCCAGGGCGATGTCAGGGACACTGGCGTCCACCATGAGGGAGAATAAATTCAGCATGAGGTTTGCGTTTCTCCTGAGGTGGAGGAAGGCAGTGTAGCATTGCTTTTTGAACTCGTGGTAGTGCTCTGAGCCCACTCCACCCATGGCTTCCACCATCTCTTTGCTGAGTTTCATGGGTGGGGGGAGGGGTTTTGGGTCCCTTCCCAGGATGTAGCCAAAGTCTATGTGAAATAATTTCCCTAATGATGAGACAGAGAATTAAAAACGTCATTCAGAACGATTTTTAGATCGTTAATCTTCCAAGAACATTTTTTTTTCAATTTTCGAGGATTTTATTTACCTGATGTTGTCAATAATAAATTGTCCAGATGACGATCTCCAACTCCCAGGACGTACGTAATGATGCAATAACCAGCTGAATACAAAATTGAATAATTAAAATAAATTTATGGAGAAGGGAAATGGAAATCAGTAACGAAGTGGTAAAACGGTACAAGTCAATTTTGATTATTGGCCAGTCTTCAATGAATATCTCGGAATCTAAGGGAGATAGCAAAATTTTTATTATAACCTTTTTTATAGAGCGGATTGAGAGTTACAACAAATATAATTACGAAAATTTCGCTATCTCCCTTAGATTCGGAAATATTCCTCAAAAAGTCAACTGGGAGATGAGTCGACTTAAACCGTTTTACCATTTCGCTACTGAATTAATCCTTAATGAATTATTAGCCTTTCAATTTCCTCGTTGACGATAAATTCAGTAGCGAAGTGGTAAAACTGTTCAAATCGATTTTGACTATTGACCAGTTTTAAATGAATACCTCGGAATCTAAGGGAGATAGCTAAATTTTCGTCGAAATCTTTTTTGTAGCACTCAATTTGCTCTAGAAAAAAGGTTATTACGAAAATTTCATTATCTCCTTTAGATTCGGAGATATTCCTCAAAAACTTAACTAAGAGATAAGTCGACTTAAATAGTTTTACCACTTCGCTACTGAAATAATTCTCCAGTGATATACCACAACTGCGAACGTAAGTATCCATGACTTCAGGTGCTACCCCATAAGGACCAGTCTCCGAAGGATGATGTTTCCTGAAGAAATTTAGTATGGATCCCTCACTGGCTAAAACCTCTGCAACTGTTGTTGACTCTATAAATTGGACGAATCCATGCTTTGTACTTGTTGCCAATACCCTAAAAAGTAATAGATAATTTTTTAAAGGACTAGGGAAATGGACATAACATAAATGTAGGAGTCCCATGTTAAGCGAAGTCATTATCATAGGTGGCTAATATTCAGTATTCAGATAGTTTTTGAGAGTGATTAATTTTTGCAAATAACGAAAGATCTAATAATTGAATTCCACTTTATTCGATTCGTTTGATTTTCTTTATCATTATTTTCATTGTTTAGCTCATTGGAGCTGTCATTTAATTGTAAAATTCAGTTTCAGGAAAAATAATAGGAGGATTAGATGTCTCATGACTTGTTAAAAAAGAAAAAATAAGATGAAAAGAAAAATAACTTTTTTTTACATTCAATTTATTTCTAACAAAATGAAAACAAAATACTATATAGTTTATATTTATTTTATTATATTTTTTAAATGAAAAAAAAATTATATTAATAATTAATAAATTATATAATATATATAATATACCTATATATAATATATATTATATATATATATATTTTAAGATTTTCTTATTGATATATAAGATACTCAAGTTTAGGATGGAAATAATCCTGACTCACGCATAACGGAATAGATTGCTGCCAAAAACGTGAATTTTTTTAAAAAAGAGGACCGAAATGAATACAAAACGTTATTAAAAATATATAATTTACGCTTACCTGTATGGAGTCAACTTCAAATCCAAATTCTCTCTCCTCAGGAGTTTATCCATCAGCGCAATGGTCTGTAAAATCAACTGGTCCTGCCTCAGATCATCTCCATGCTTGAAGATGGCAATATACTCCGTATTGTCAGTCGTCAGGAATGTTAATTTCGATGGCATGAGAGCTGACTTAAATAAACTAGCCCTGAAATTGAAATAAATTCAACAATCCATTGCACAATGCTCCCAACACCTGATAAACCAAAACAAAATAAAAATCATCATGAATTACTTATCAGGGATGATTCCCTTGATGGATATCTCTGGATCGAGTGGAAAGGGTATGGGTTCGAAATTCGAGAAATTAAATTTGGAGGCAGGATCAGGTTCAGCAAGAAGTGCCTTGAGCCTGTCAGTCTTCTTCTTCCTATTCGCACTCTCCCTGGCGACATTTTTCACCAAGGCCACCAGCTGTTCAATGAAGGTCTTCTGCCTGGCCAGGAAAGCCCTCCTCTTCTGCCAGACAGCATTCCCCTGTGCCAAAGCAGTCGAGAACATCTTCATGACAGTGAGATACATCTCCCTGACCCTGGTGTCCTGTTTAACAGTGATGGCAGGATCCGGCTGTTCCTCGCACTCGATCGAGAGATACCAGTAGAAATAATTAGCTAGAGTAGAGTTCTGACAGGCTCTGGTGATGAGAAATGAGGAGAGATCCATTGGGGATTCCTGGCTGGTCGTCGAGACACAAGCCTCCGAGTCACTGGAAGTGGATATCCCCGAGGGAGTGTACTCCACACTGACACTCCTCCCCTCCCTCTCCCTCTCAGACTCCCTGGCTATCCTCTGGCTCGCCAGCTTGATCCCCTCGAAGTTCTCGTACTTGAGGGCCTGCACCAGCTGCAGCAGATAAAGCATGAGGTCCTCGTCGTGCGCCTGGTTGAGCCGCCCAATGGCGTACCTCCTGATGGCAGGATGGGTGAAGGCTGGCCCCAGGAGCTCCAGAGCGTCCTCAGGGTCCGGAGGGGTCCAGAGGGCCAGCATCTCCAACGCCTGCTTCTCCTCCCCAGGCATCTTCCAATTGACGCATTTAACGAACTTGGTCAGGGCCTTCTTCTGATTAGACAAGTGAAATCTGAACTTCCAGATGAGATCCTGCTCCTCTGTCGAGAGGGCTGTCGTCGGGGGATAGCCCAGGATCGTGTTGAGGGCGTCTCGGACTGTCGAAGTGGGCTTGACGTCCCTCGTGTTCCCTCCGGAGCGAAGACTGCGGGCTAATTTGTGGTGTTTACCCTCCACCAGGTTCTCCTGGAGGATCTCGTAGTCGGGGAGGGTCACCACGTCTGGCTGGGAGCGATGCTGGACCACTTCGTCCCCATCTTTCTCGTAGTAGACGATTGAGTGGGGCACTCCGTCCATCGTTACCTCGGGGAACTCGACGGTGAGGTAGAGGTACTCGGAGGCCCTCTTCTCACGCTCGTTTATCAGCTCGATCTCCCTGAAGGTCAGCCGGTCCAGCCAGTCCACTCGGCTCATCTGGCCGTTTCTTCGCTTCTTGGCGAGTTTCGCCAGCCGCTGCATCTGCTCTTTTCCGGAGTCTCTGGCCTTCCCTGGGGTCGAGGGGGGAACGTTACCGTCTGCCTCGAACCCAGGCCACACTCGCAGGTCCAGCATCCCCTGGCGGAATACTCCGTACTTGCCGAAGAGGGAGATTGTCGTTCCACCCACTGGGACTTGGCGACCTGGGCCTGCACAGTCGTAGATTGTTATGGTGAGCTGAGCGTCTCGGGGGAGGTCCGAGTAGGAAATTGGGAGGGTTACCCATTGGTTCCAACTGGAAGAAAAGAAAAGATGAGATGAAAAGAACAAATGATAATTTTTTTTCATACTATAATATTTTTTTTCTATTTAATTTTGTTTTCGTTTTTTTTCTTTTTTTTGATAAAATAAATATAAAATATATATATATTATTTTATTATATTTTTTAAATGAAAAATTTATATAGGGGAGGGTGGGGTAAAATGGACACTGGACTTTTTTAAAATTATTCATAACTCAGAAACAAATTTATCAATTGAGCTCAGTTTGGGCTCGTCACAAAGGGAAATAATTGTTTTGTATAAAAAAAAAATTATTAAATTTTATCAACATTTCAATCCCTCATTAACATTATAAAATAGTCAAGTGTCCGTTTTACCCCGACCTTCCCTATATATATATATTAAATATTTAAATAATTTATGGCCGTGACTGTTCGCACCATTGCGTGAATCACTCCCGTACACTCCATACACTCCACGCATGCGTGAAGTTTGTGTGTTTCACGCAGCCGAAATTTCATACTGCTGTGTGTTTCACGCAGTTGAAGTTTCATACTACTGTGTGTTTCACGCAGTTGAAGTTTTATACTACTGTGTGTTTCACGCAGTTGCATTTTTATACGCCTGTGTGTTTCACGCAGTTGAAGTTTTAGCAGCGAAACACACAAACTTCACGCATGCGTGGAGGGTATGGAGTGTACGGGAGTGACTCAAGCAATTGTGCGAATAGTCACGGCCATGTTTTTTTTGGGTCAAATGAAAGAGCGGCTC